CTCAGTCAAACATTTTTCCCTTTGCTTCAGAATATTGAAACAAAATTTTTCTCCTCAGCTATTCTCCTTTCCTGCACATCACCACAACAAGAACATACTCCTCAACATCATCAGTTTAATCAATAAATTTATGCTACAACAAGATTTTTTTCACCACATGCAACTACATGACCTAAATGCAACTATAGGCTTCTAAATTCTATGAAAACGATTATTCGACAATCAATAACTTAAGTAAAAAGACCTTAAACATGGTCTTTTACAAAGTTATCACACCCCCAAACTTAATCTATTGCTTGTCCTCAAGCAATGGATAGTAGATAGTAGAAAAAATATACGCTATGGCAAAACTTTTAGATCAAGATAGTTATGTGGAATGGAATTTTCAGCCCTCAGAATATCTGGCTTCAACATGCTAGACAACATTGAGAATTCAAGTAATTTACCCTAGAACAAGATACTCAGGGTTAAAAGAGGTCATAATAGGTCTGTTCACATGCTGAAAACAACACAAGATGCAAACTACTATGTATATGCTTCATAACCAATGAAACCTACCAAAACTTATATAATGATCTACATGTAGAAGAGTTGAGTTAGAAGTGTGTAACCTTTGACTTCTAAGCTGTTGGAAGTGTCCAAGGCTCAACCCAAGGTAAACTTTTCCTTCCCCTTTCTCTTAGAGCTTTCTCTTACTTCTCTCGCTAAACAAGGATTAAGCACATGGGTTTTTAACTTGATTTAGAAGTTAATAAGGGTTTAAGAACACTTTCTAAGGCTTAACATCTCTGAAAATGGATTAAAATAGTCAAGTTCCTTAAACCCCACAAAACCCATGTTTGGTTACCATGGTGAAATGAAGATATGAAAAATTCAATTTGGAGTTCTTGAGATGGAGGTTATGAATCTTACCTCAAGGATTACAAAATAGGGTTGCAAGGTTACCAATTTATCACCTTTGCTCTTTCTAAGTTGGGAGATAAATGAGAGGGAAGAAGGAAGAAGAAAACAAGGTGAATGGGAAGAAAAAGAGAAGAACATAACGTGAGACCATCCTCTCTTAATGGGTATCCAACTTTTTCTTTGAAAATTGGTATAATTACCCCTTATCCACTCTAACTTTTGTTGTATTCTAAAAACACCCTTTTTTTTATCATATGTTGGGCTAAACCCAAGCCCAAACCAAAGCTCACTTGACCCAAGCTTCTCTATTAGGCTAATGAATTCATCTAAAACACTCTTGGGTCAACCCGAAACTACTAACCCGAGATTCGGGGAGTTATAAAATTACAACGACCTAAGGCTAAAAACTCATTTCGTTTTATCCTAACAAGTTTAAGAAATTAAAAGGAAAATATCCAATTTGGTACTTTTACTCGAAACATAATACTAAGCATGTCAATGATACTAATGACTAAAATAAACTAAAATGGAATTCATATGCAACATTTGAACTAATTTTAGAAAGAATACTAAATGACCTAAATGCAAAAATACGGTTAAATCTAAGGGAATAAAGAAAAAATTCCTCTTTATTTTAAAGTAACAAAAAATCTGAAAATCACACAAATAGGGTTCATGCATTCAAATAATTTAAAAAAGTAAAGAGAAAAAGGGATGATTTTGTAAAAATGTCTAATGGCTTAAGTGTGATTTTTCTTAAAATCTATGGTATTTAAACCCTCTTTTTTCCATTTCAGAAAACCAACCAACCCTAGCCGTTTTCACTCTTCTCTTTGTGTTCTCTCAAATCTTCCCCACTCTTCTCTCAGTCGAAGGTCAAATTTACCGAAACCAAAAAACGACCACCGTAGATCGGTGGCCCTTCCTCCCTCTAACCACAACCAACAGTGATCAGGAAACTCAACTAACATCAAAACCTCATACCAAAGCCCCTATAACCTCCAATTCTAGTAACCCTACCCAGATATCATATTAAAACCACTTAATCTACCCCCAACCTACCAAAACAACATTTGAACTTTTGTTTCTACTATCTTCGGCCACCCTAACTGACTGATCATCCCCTATTTCACCATAGAATCTACCCCTCTCTGCTTCAACTCCTAACTGTTGTTGGACTGAAACGCGTGCCTACTGCATCCTCTTGGGCTTCTTTATGATACTTGATTTTTGTTGTGCTAGCCAAACTTGCTTACTGGACCTTAATTAAATACCTCACCTGGACATGAATTTTAACTTTGACTTGGGACGAACCTGAAATTAATAAAAATATATCAAATTAATAAATAAAATTAATCTAAAATAAAAACAAAAACAATATAAACCACATAATATATTGTATCTTCCAAACTATATACTATTTTAAAATATATATAATATATATTGTTTTGTTTTTCTAAACTACATATATACACAATTTCCAAAATTATATAATATATACTATTTTGTTTCTCAAAGTACATATATATACTATTTTTTAAACTATGTAATATATACGATTTAGTTTTCTAAACTATATGTATATACTATTTTTCAAAACTATAATATATATATATAAAAGCTATTATATAATACTGAGAAAGTTATAACAAAGGAAAATCAAAATAATTTTCGGATAAAAACATGTATCTTTAATGTTATAAATATAGTTGTTCAAATTTAAAACTTTTTTTAAAAAATAACATTCTTTCTATTATTTATACCTCTTAATAAATTAATAAAATTACGATTTAATAAATTTAAAATGATCAATCTCTTTATATATGGTTGCTCGTCCCCTTTATAGTTTTATTTAGGATTAAATAGTATTTTGATTTTTAAAATAGTATTTTAATAATTAAATTAAAAATAATATTAATAAAGATGAATAAAAAACATGTAAGGTCCGACTCTTCGTTAGGTCTAACGTTAATTTAGTTTTTGTTTGATGATGGTAGCAAAAATTAAATACAAATATCATTTTCGGTGGACGTTAGAAAATTGAGTTATGTTTATATAAATTTTTTTAATAATCTAAGATAATTATAAAATAATATTTATTTATAATTTTTTTAATTAATTGAGAATATATATATATATATATATATATATATATATTTATATTTACAGATGTAGCTTGCTTGAACTCAAATCTCTAAAAAAAGGAAATTTTCTTTAACTACTGAAATCATTTGATGAATTATTTGTATTACATAATTTAATATATAAACTTGGTATGCATATATGATTTGAACAATGTAAATTATATATTAGGATAAATTACGTGCAGGGATGGTCAAAATATTTGAATCGGCTAGTCTTTACCCGATCCGACTTTATAGGGCCATTTTTTTAAATTTCGGGATTTGGAGAGGGACAAATTATACGGTATAAAATTTCAGGGCGGGATGGGGTCAGATTTAAGGTGAAAAATCATAACTCGGCTTGACTCAATTAATATTATATATAATATTTTAAGAATTTTTATTTTTATATTATTAAGATATATTATTTAATTATTAAAATATAAAAATTATTATAAAATATATTAATTTAATCACTTAAAAAATACATAATTGTAAATATATTATTATAAAATATATTATTTTAATTATTTAAAAAATTAATATATTCGGGTCAGATGTGTTCAGGGTCGGATTTTAGTTTAAATACGGGATAGGAAAAAACCTAAAATTCGTCAGGGTAGGGTCGGGTTTTAAGTATATGTTTTCGTGTCGGGGCTGGGACGACACTTGTGTTTAGTATCATTCCTAATTACGTGTTTAGTACCTAAATTATTAGTTTTTCAAAACTATATAAAAGGGTTTAGTTTTTGTTTCATTTTATACCTCCGTTAAAAATTTAACGTTAAGTTTTGATTTTTTTTTTGAAAATTTAGGTACTAAAACGAATCAGAATTGATAGTTTAGGTATTAAACACATTAACTTTTTAACGACGATGTACTAAAATGAAATAAAAACTAAATATTTACGTATTATCATACGTATAATTAAATTGTACGATCCTTGTCAAAAGCTACATGATCCCCTTTCAAGTCAATTGACTATTTAACACTAAATTATATATCTTTAAATTAAAAGTTATTGAATTTGATTAAATTATTTTTGAAATAATTCAGATCATGAATTTAATTTAATTTTTAAAATTTCTTTTAATGGTCTCTATTAACGTTGGAACAATTGTTGGAGTGCATACTGTAACAACCAGTTTTTCTCCTCAACGGAAGTGTCTGTCCATTCCAGCGGTGCAATAAAAAACTCCTACTTTTCCACTTACGAGATCAAAAATCTTACATGAAAAAAATAAAAGAAAATAATATGTATTTGTTTTAATAATATAAAGTGATTATAACATGTTTATTTTTTTAAAAAAAATTACACTCACTTTATAAGTTCAGAAGAACAATTAACTTTTTAAATAGTTCGTGATTATAAAATAATATATGTTCACAATTTTATTTAGTTATTAACGACACGTACACAGTAACTGTTTGAATTTAGGATCTTAAAGGAAATAGCACTCCCTTCCCTTCAACTACTAGGATCACTCAATAAATTTAATACAATCAATTTCTTTTTTCTTTGACAATAATGCAATTAATCTCTTAAAATGTGACATTTGACGTGAATTTTATTATTGTTGTAATACTATTTTATTAACATGACAGTTTATATCAACTTATACTAAATCTATCACGCTAATATCATAAAAATATTTATAATTTAGTCATTATTTTTATTAGAAATTAAAATAATTTAACGAGTTATTAGGCAATTTCACAGTTAAACAAAATGTTATTTTCTCTAAAAAAAATTAAATTCGAATAAATGTTTATAGAATATATATACATATTAATGTTTAAAAAATTATAAACTGATAGTAGAAAAAGATTTCACATAAGAGTGGTTCCACTCAATAGTCCATCCCAATACTACATAATAATAATTTCAAGGAAATGTCAAATTGTCAACTGATGTAAAGCAACAAACTGTTGTTCTACATTAAAGCACCCCCACCATGAAAGCGACCCAAATCATACACAAACTGAAGCTTTCACATATGGAAAATACAACTTCTAAGATCAATACATTTGGATTTTAACGCCATTCATTGTCTTATTATTTGCTTGTTTTATAGTTGCTAATACAAGGTAACTTGAACAAGATGGATCGATCATACGTGCATATATCAGGATTGGACTCTACCAAGACCACAAGCCATGCTCATCAACAGGGAATTCAAAATTGCAGGAATTTGCAGGCGGATCAGAGGAATCATCGTCGTCTTCAACTTTGGGAAAGACGTATGATGGAAGATGTAACATGTCCTTACCCAAGTTATCTTCTTCTTGGGATAAATCCGATTGGTCCGAATCGAGCACATCGCCATTGGCAGACACCACCACGACCTTAGACTCTTTCCCTTTCAATGATAACTTATCTGTGAGCTCAATAACCTGTAACATACGCATGAAAAGTAAAGCACCATAGACAAATACAGAATAGTAGTTAGGATGGATCGAGGAGGCGACTAGTAGTCTTCTCCTAATGTAAAGTCCTGTGTTCGTGCTAAACATTGCTAATTACAAATTACCTCTTGTTTTAGTTTATCTTTCTCCTTGAGGAGATCATCATAGTCGGCCTTGAGGTTATTATATCTGGCTTGCAAACTGTCATATTCTTTCTCTATCTGCTTCGTCTTCCATCGAGCACGGCGGTTCTGGAACCATATAGCAACTTGCCTTGATTGCAGGCCGAGGTCTTTGGCCAGCTGAATTTTCCTTTCCGGTTCAAGCTTGTTGTCGGCCTCGAAGCTTTTCTCGAGAGACTGGACTTGCTCGACTGTAAGTCGCCTCTTCTTCTCCGATCGATGTAAATACCCATCTATATCGCCATCTCCGTTATCTTCTTCATCAAACGTCCATGAACTGTTTCGATCAACACCATCGAAGCTTAACATCGATCTTGTACCTGAAACAAGCAAGGGTTTTTAAAGAAATCCAAAGTGAGAAAAGAAGAAGAAGAGGAAGAAGGAGATATTACCTAGAAAAGTTGAAGGAGAAGAGCCTGGAATGAAGAGGGTATGAAGAGGCTGAGAAGAGGAAGAAACCCTTTGACTTTGAAGCAAAACAGAGAGATTATTAGAACCAGCCATGAAAATTATCAATCTAAAGGATCAATTTTTATTTTTTTTTAATTTATCTTCTTCACCAGAGGAAGATCTCAAATTTTAAGTACAAAAAATAGGTATGAAATTGTTCACTTATGGCGAAAGAAGCTGGTGATGATGATTTCTGTGATATGGGAAGTGTGGGAACAGCGGCAGCTCACCCCCATCATCACTCAGAATAAGTCGTAATTTTCTTGATCTTTTGACAAAGTGAAACAAGGAAAGCTTGGAGAAGATGATGAAAAATGGCAAAGGGATAAAATTAAATGAATAGTACAATAGGGAGTCAAGTTTAATGAGTTTATATTAAGGAGAAAATAACCTCAGTGACCGAAAATGCCTTATAATATACGATTTTGATCAACTTTTTTTCGATTTGCCAAAATGACCAACAAAATCGCAATGCGATCTCCAGTATCGCAAATCAATTTCCAGATTCGCAACGCGATTTTGACTATCGCATTGCGATTTTCCAAATTCGCGTTGCGATTTTAGAAAATTGCAATGCGAATATGTAAATCGCAACGCTATTCTGACTATCGCAATGCGATAATACAAAATCGCAACGCGATTCTGACTATCGCAACACTGAATTTCAAATTCGCAACATGTTTTAGTTTCGCAACACAAATGTTTTGGGTATATAACTACGCAGCAGCAGCAACTCATAACCTAAATCCCTAAATCGCAACTCATTCCATCTCCATCTATCACTCTCTCTGGCGACATCCGTTCTATATCCAACGACATCCTATATCCAACGACATCCTTCCCCATCCGGCAACAGGTTTTAGTTTCGCAGCTCGTTTGTTTAGTAAATTAATTTACAATAATGAAATCATCTAATGTTGATCATGTTTGGATAGATTTGTGTTTTGGAGGGTCATGGGAGAATGTTCATGATGTTTTACAATATATGCCTTTACCCATGAATCTTCAACTAAAACTGTCATTAAAAAAGTTAACTTATGAAACTCTAATATTACGTGGTGCAAATAAATTAAATTTAGAGCCCCTAAGTGGATTTAGGCTATCTTATCAGAGAAAAGGTAAAGTTTATTTGTTAACTGACAATGAATATGTTGAACGATTCATTGCTTACATTAGTGTTTCGCAAGATGATGTTACATTGTATGTTGTTGAACCTAGAAGTAGTGAAGTTGGGTCAGTAGCGGGTAGTAATCAACTAAGTTTTTCAACCCCAGTTTATGGTGCTCAAAATTTAATGGTTCCACCACAATTTCATCACCAAGCAAATTTTGTTTCACCACATTTCTAATACCAAACACAATCTCAAAACCCACAACCTTTCCCTAATCCAAATCCCAATCAACTTTCAGCACCAAATTCTGGTTTTCGTATTGATCAGTTAGACGATGATGAGCCAACAGAAAAAATTGTGAGTACTAGTCAGTACTCAAAATTTGATCTTGGTCAATACCCGGACTTTGATCTTGGTATATACTCGGATTTTGATGATGCTTCAGAAGAAGAAACAGACCCTGCGTGTAATGATTTTGATATTGGTCAATACCCGAATTTTGATGATGAAACAACCGCTGTCGAGGAAGATGTTGTTGATGATAATGAGGAGGAAGTTACGACTGTGAATGAACATGTTGAACATCCATTCTGTAATTCATATAACCCTGAAGAAGAAAAAGAAGAAGAATAAATCCCTGAAGAAAAGTCCCCGAAGAAAATGCCACAGGAGTATAAATGGAATATACCAGAATTACTTCAGATACCGGAAGAAGAGTTGGTAAAGATAGCAGTTGATTGTTACACAAAAATTATTCGTATCAAGAAAGATGATTGTTTTGATACAAAGGAAGACTTGAAGATAGCTTTGTATACGAAATGTGTGGAAGATGGGCTATCAACTAAAAGTTAACAAATCAAGCAAAGATCGTTTTGAAACAAGGTGTATGATTGACAAAAACTGTACGTGGCGTATGATTGCAAAGAGGATAAAAGATTGCGAAATGTTTCAAGTTAGGACTTTTATTGATAAACATACATGTTCAAGAACCCAAGTTTTTTCTCACCATAGACAGACAAACAAAAAGGTGTTGGGTGGTTTTCTGGCTGAGTTAATGTTTTTGAATGGCAGGGTATATCGGGGACATGAAATTATGACTGACATGAATGCTTGGTTCAAGATTAGTATCTCATATTCTCAAGTTTGGAGAGCCAAATGTTATGCCTTGGAATTGTTGAGGGGGTCGCCAGAAGCATCGTTTGCCCAACTGTCGGCTTATTGTAACAATTTAAAGCTGAAAAATCCTGGGTCGGTAACTCATATCAAAACAGATAGAGATTGACGCTTTGAGTTGCTGTTTATCGCCATTGGTGCTGCGGTTAGTAAATCAATATAATTTTGTTGACTCATTTTTGTTAGTTACATGCATTTCACATTTAAATGATTATATTTATTGTGTATATTATTTTGTAGATTCGTTCGTTTATTACTTGCATGCACCCAGTTATTATAGTTGACGGAGCACATTTGAAAGGTCGATACCTTGGAGTAAACTTATTAACAGTAGTCATGGATGCTAACAATGGGATATTGGTAATAGCTTACTGGGTTGGCAAATCTGAAACCTCTGATTCATGGACATGGTTTATGGGGCATCTTAGGGATTGCATAGGTCCTATTAGCAATCTGACAATCATATCCGATAGGGCAAACTCAATCGACAACGATGTTAGAAGGTGTTTCCCAGATGCTTTTCATGGACTTTGTGGTGTTCATTTGTATAGAAATCTAAAATCAAGGTTTGCTGGTATAAAAAATCACAAATGGACATACTGGAAGGCTGTAAAAGCTTATCGGGAAGTGGATTTTAATAAGCATATAAATTGTTTAAGACGTGTTTTGCCTCAGTGTGCTCAAACACTAGAAGATGTCGGGTTTGAAAGATGGTCAAGAGTACATCAACTTGGAGCAAGATATGGTTTCATGACGTCTAATAGTGCAGAATCAATCATCGCTCTAAGTCGTCATTCCCGGAAATTACCTATTACTATGTTAATGGAGTTTTTTCGAGCCTCTATTCAACAGTGGTACTACAAAAAAAGAAACCATGCAGGTATTATTTCTTTAAATTCGTAACTTATCATATATTTTACTAAGTATTATTTATTTAAATTTACAGGAACATTGGAACATCGTGTTACACCATGGACTGAAAAAAAGATAACGAAACGTGTTGTAAAGTCAACGTCATGGAGAGTTGAACCATGTTCAAACACTTTGTTTGAAGTACTGGATAATAACTTAAATGGGCTTGTCGATCTAAATGCAAAGACGTGTAGTTGTATGAAATGGCAAACATCTGGTTATCCGTGTGGCCATGTTATAAAAGTTGCTCTTCATCTAAACCAAGATGATTCAAGCGCATACGCTATGGATTGCTACACTACAGAAGAATATCGACAGACTTATGCCGAGATTATCTACCATATTCCACATCCTTCTGAGTGAGACATATCAGATGACTTACAAACAGTTTTGCCACCAGCCATGGACAGAAGGCTACCTGGCCGACCAAAAAGTCACGATTGTATACCGTCTAAGGGTGAAGAGAAGAAGAGATCGACATGTAGTCTGTGCAAGGAAAGTGGTCATACAAGGTTGACATGTGGATCACTAGTGCCATCACAATCATCTTTTCCTCTACCAAAATATGGATCCTCATCAAAATCCAAAGCTCATATGGTGTCAAGCAAAAGGTAATCAAAATCAAAATCAAAATCCCAATCACAACCGGCTTCACTTTTGAGACTATTAACTTAGGTGATTTTTAAATGCAAACGTTGTATTATGTGTATTTTATGTGTAAACTTTTAACATTTTAAGTTAGGCATGTATTAGTAACTTGAGTTTGAACATTGCTATGATATGTTCAGTTGTTATCACTTATTACACATTCATTTGACTATCGCAATGCGAATTTGACTATCGCAACGCGAATTTGACTATCGCAACGTGAATTTGATTATCGCAACGGGAATTTGACTATCGCAACGAGAAAATCGCAAAGCGTATTAGACTATCGCAACGCGAATTAACTTTCGCGTTGCGATTTTGGCTTTCACATTGCGATTTTGAGTTTAGCGTTGCGAAAGTGTACCTTCAACATGTCTTTTGCCTTCAATATGATGCAGATTGAAATCAACAAATCAACTTTTACATTTCAATCAATTAAACAAGCACAAATAAGAATTATTTACACATCAATTAAACAAATCAACTTTTACAAATCAACTTTTACAAATCAAGTAAACAAGCAAAAGATAATAATAATTCTTATTTTCCTCATCAATTAAACAAATCAACTTTTAAGAATCAATTAAACAATCAAAAAAAGTGTACTCCAGACAGTTGTTTATGCACTCATACATCAATTTCACGCAGCTCACTTCAGGATTAACCTGCAGAAACCAAACATTTGCTCAAACAACACTTTCTACATATCTATAACCAACAAACACCAAATTATTGAATTCTAGGTACTTAACAACACTTGCATTTGACTTACCAATTGTTTATGGACACTTTCATAACGCGGATGTAGGTAGGCAACGTCTCGCATATATCGCTCTAGCCATAAAATGCCGAAACCACAAGCCTACTGCACCTCTATCTCTATCGGTGGGAGGTATAAACTATATACTTCCTGTCGTCAAACGCTCCAAGCACATGCATACGAGAGGAGCACAATCCCCTCTGGCTCCCTGCGTTTGTCGTGGGGCGGTCTCGTCTATGATAACTGTAACATTGAACTTCTTTGGCTTCTTGTTTCCAGAATAAGTCCAATAATTAATCGCATCCAAGAATTTAGCCAAATGAGAGCTCCATCCCTTAATAATATCTCTCAAATCAGACAATGATATGTAATTTATCATGCTGTCATATACTATTGTCTTCAGGGATGGGAGCTGAAGCTCGACGAGAAACTGTCGTAACCGTTTTTCGGCGGGGACAATCGTTTAATTATTTTAAAAACAAGTTACGACTTTTTATTTTGGAAAATGGGTGAATTTGGAGTAATTTGAAATAAATTGAAAAGAATTAAAAAGAGTCGCCATCAACCTTTGGGTTAGGTAGGTCGAATACCTAAAAATGTCTTTTAAAAACAATTTTAAGAAAAATCATCTTTTAAGACAAAAGCTGGTCTGCGTTTACCAAAGATTCGTTTAAAACGAGTTCGGGAGTCGGTTACGCGTGAGGAAGGATTAGTACCCCCCACAACGCCCAAAATTGGTACTGTTTCGCTT